GTTGCTACTTCATAGCTGTCATTTTGTTACTGTTATGAATTGTTAGACCACAGTGAAAGGGTCATTCGTCCCCCAAAGGGGTCACGCAGGACCCACAGGTTGAGAACCGCTGCTCTAGTTCTTTAATGCCTTATCCCCCCACTATCATGACCCCATTTCTACCTTACAAATCTGGCTAGACCAGAGCATGTACACTGGTACAGATACGATCTCAACACACGGAATCCAAGAAAGATAAGCCCCTCAGGACCAATAATGAGAGTAGTGATACCATGAGGGTAAGGGGTAGATGGGGAGCGAAAGGGGCAATTGATCGCAATGATCAATGTACAACACTCCCCCCCTCCTACTCCCCCACCGAGGGACAAACAACAGAAACATGGATGAAGGGAGACAGTGGAGGGTGTAAGATATGAAAATAAAAATAATTCATAAGTTATCAAGGATTCATGAGGTTAGGGGAAAAAAGCTGATACCAAGGGCTCAAGCAGAAAGTGTTTTGGAAATGATGCTGGCAACATATGTACAAATGTGCTTGATATAATTGATGTTTGGATTGTTATAAGAGCCCCCAATAAAATGACTTATTAGAATAAAATAAATAGATAAATGCTAACATCCTTACCCTGGAAATGTACTTAACGTATCCTTAAGCCTGGTAGTAATCCCATAAGGTTCTTATTAACCCTATTTTGCAGGTAAAATGAGAGGGCCAAGGGTTAGCTCCTCACTTTCAGGTAAATTGTAGAGTTTACTTTTTAACCTGGGTTTCTGTCACTCCAGTAGATGTGGGCTCAGTGCCCATAGAGGACAGAGTAGAAGGGCCCTGTAAGGATTCCCAAGGCTGTTGTCTTTAAGGCAGCATAGTCTGTGCCCTGTCGCTCTCCTTGGAGCAGCTGGTGATTGGAACCACCCGCCTTTCCATTAGCTGCCCAGCGCTGTAGCCATTCCTCCGGAGGGGCCCTGCCCTGCTTCTTTTTTTCTTTTTTTAAACCTTGTGGTAAGCCTTTGGAGCATATCCTGATACAGGAGAGTGACAAGCAGAGAATCCCATCTTGGGAAGACCCTGGCTGCCATGAGAATGGCTAGCGGACACCAGCATGTCTGCAGGGCAGATTATCCAGGTTGCAATCATTCAGGTGAGAGATGATAGTAACTTGGGTTGTAATTCTGGCGTTGGGTGAGGAGAACAACGTTGAGAGAGATTTAAGAAGTAGAATCTACAGGACTTGCTGGCCGTTGGGGAAGGAGCCCAGGTAGGGCAGTGGGTAAGCACTGAGAGGCTAACTGATAGGTTGGTATTTAGAGCTCTGTGGGAGAAAGCAGGGACAATCTGCTTCTGGAAAGATCTGCAGCCTTGGAAACTCTAGGGGGGCAGTTGCACTGTGAGTGGGAATGGACACCCATGGGATTTTTTTAAATTGTGGTAATCGTTTGAAGATGAGCTTATCGGGCAACTACTGCCTTCAGCAAATGTGAATAGTGGTGCCACTATCCAGTCTCTGCAAGGGAAGTACCTTCCCACAACCTGACCCGGCCTGCCTTCAACATTCATCCTTCATTCTGTCCTTCAGTGTCACTACACGTCAGAACGAACTTGATGACAACGGGCTTGTTGTATGGGCTTTGTTTTGTGACATGTACAGCAAAAGCAAACTTGTAGTGACAGAAAGTAGACAAGTGGCCTTCTGGAACCGGGCGTGGTCATAAGGGTTAACAGTAAAATGGCAGGATGAAAATGTTCCCAAACAAAAGAAAAGAAAATGTTCCCAAGCTGGATTATGGTGATGTTTGCACAACTCAATAAATTTGCCAAAACCCATTCACTTAACCACTTAAAACAGGTGAATTTTATGGCATGTGAACTGTATTTCAGTAATGTGTTCAACCCTTTAAAAGATGCACTCGCCGAAAGCATGAAAGAATACATTATTACTGACCAATTATTAATTTTGGGTTGAATTGTATACATGTTTCTGGCCTTTGCATTCTGTGCCATTCAACTTCAGGGATGTGTACTTCAGCACCTGCCAGTATGTGTCACACACACACACACACACACACACACACACACACACCTTAATATTCCTTCAAAAACACTTTTGGAGACTTCTTACTCTCTAACTTAACAGAATTCAGCTTAGCGGGTTACAAAATTCCAGGGTTTCCTTATAGCTTTGGGTGTTAAAGCAGAAATTGGTACAAGGGGCTCCCCTGGTGGCACAGGCCAGCTGGAATCAGATTTGGGATTCCCGGGGAGCACACATGCTCGGGGCCCTTAGGAGCCATCCTACACAAGGACGTGGCAACACTGAGCTAGCTGTCTCATGACAGGTTTGGATTTGCTGAATAATAGAAATGAGATGTAATCATGTTAGTCCAAATGTGTCGTTCTCGGATCCTACGGAGCCCTCCTAGAAGTCTTTGTCTGTTTCCATGCACTTAGAAGCAGTACTGGAGATAAGGGTGTTAGGGCGAGCAGGTCATTTAGGAAGGAGCTGCAGAAGGAACATGGGGAGAGAAGCAGGGGCGGGGGCATGTGCATGTGTGTGTGTGCATGTGTGTGTAAACACTAGAAAAAGACAGGTACCATGGTGGGCACTCGGGCTCACAGGACTCAATCCTGGCTGAGGAACCATGTAGAATAAACCCAAGAACGGTCCCTGGAGGGACTGTAGCATTTATCAATCCCAGACTCCTGCCCAGACTTCTGTTGAGGGTTGCCCTGGAGGCAGTAACTCCCCCATCCTCCTCTGCCAGGCTGAGGGGGCTTCAGAGAAAGGCAGGGCGTGAGACATGCTTCAAGTGGTACTTGTGAGACCAGCCCCCCCCCCCCCCACGCCCCAGAGCTGCATCTGTCTAGAGGCCCAGGAGCATCTTTCAAAGGGAACTCCAACAATAACTGTCCGGAGACGTGACACACAACGTCCAGTGCAATTTCATAGAAACAGCCGTTTTTTATTAGTGAACCATTTCGTGTACATTAACAGTAGAAAGAAGCATGTCGAGCATCACATGAAAGGAACCAACTGTAGAGACTACCTGAAGAGCATCGGACCAGGGTCCTCTTCCTTCCGCAGCCACACCTCGGGCACCGAGTCAGTCCATTAAAAGTTCTTTAAACAGACAAGCAGTGAACCTTCCTTACATACACCCCCCAAAACACGGGGTAGTTGTTTAAGACTTGGGACGAGTGGGCGTTGTGGCGCCTTGGGAACCAAGGCTAGCCTGCAGCTCCTGGTACTCCAAGTGGCAAAGCCCGTTTCCTGTTCTGTGCCGAACTCCCAGTTTTCCCCGAGAGGACTGCACTGATTTTCTCCCTCTGAGTTGAGTAGCATAACACGGGAGCTTGCATTCTGCGATGGTGACTGCTGACATTCAGAAAGCCCCTAGGGACCTTTCCACAGCAATGGCTACAAGAGGAGCCGCCCGCCCGAGGAAGACCACTGTCGGAGCCGATTCCGACTCAGCCTGGCCCCACAGGACGGAGCACAACCGCCCCGTGGGGTTTCTGAGACTTTCATCTTTGGGGAGCAGACATGCTCAGATTTCTCCCACGGAGCGGCTGGGGGGTCTGAGCCACCAGCCCTGAGATTGGCAGCCTGGTGCTTAACCCGTGGTGCCACCAGGGTGCCTTAGTGTGTTATTTCCACCCAGAACCAAATAGGGGCATTCTTTACCAATCTATATCATTTCTGACTGCAGTTATATAGGTTTGCCGTAGCCCTTCTGGAGGAAAATGGCAAACGTGATTTGAAGCCAAGTTCACTGGTATGGAACAAAGGTGGAAATACGCAATCGACTTTTAGTCTGAGGTAAAAAGAAGCCTTAGGGGCTTCTCAGTACCGACTCATAAGTCCCTCTTTCACCCGACCCCCAAGCTCCCGCACCCAAGCCCTGCCCCACTCGGCTCGTATCCAGCCCACAAGTCATCAGAAGATCCAGTTGCTGTCCTGAGAAGCATGAACGGAAAACA